CAACCAACAAGGAGCCCGGTAAAGCTGTCAGCCTGCTGTGCGGCCACCCTACACACATTCCGGAGCCGGTCATATCCGGGACATGTCTCTTGATGGCAAGGGATAACCCCGACTGACTAGGTGCTCTCTCTCTCTCTCTCTCTGTCCGCTCTCGAGTTGGCATTCGCTGGAGATCGAACATCATTTGGATAGGCTATGTGCCAATCCGGTTGAGCAGAACGCGGAGGCTGCTGTCAGCAATGGAAAACCTACGCAAATGTGTGGTGCCTGTTTTTGGTCATCTTGAACCATTTAGCTACAATCAGCCTTTCTACTGGAATGTTGCCGAAATGCTTCGGCTGCCAACAACGTCAGCCTGGCTCAGAAGATGCCTTTGCTTCCGCAGAAGTCGTCTGGGCCCGTTTTGAAAAATGCATGGTAGTGCTTCCAGAGCTTGAAACTGGGCCTCTGAGGAGTTTAGGCAAGGCTCAACCCCCTGGTTAGAAGGTTCAGGCTGTTGGCGGTTTGCACCTTGCATGGGGAGCTTCTGTCTGCAGCCTCACTAATGGAAAGGGTGGCAGTGCTAAGCCTTCAACGGAGGGAGCGCAGCAAACTGAGCAAACGAGTCAGGCCTCGCGAGCGGAGCACAGAGCAGACGTCTGTCTCTCTGAAAAGCATTGTTTTGCTGCACAGCCTCTGCTGAGGTTCAGACTTGGGGGCAGGTGCCGGCGCAGCTGCTTTGGCCTTCAGCAAGAAAGAATCAAGCACAAAAGTGTACATCAATCCAATGGCAGCTAGCATGGTAGACAATGCAGTGCTTTCCTCAGCTATTACCCATAATACTCAGCAGAACACCAACAAATTGGAGGCCTGCACAGCAGTCCTCGCTGTAGCACTACAGGCAACAAGAGTTTGTCTCCAAAGCATTTGGCTCGTGGCTGGACTTTTTGCGATAATGAGAAGTTGAAATCAAGCGATGCCAAGCGGTCAAGCATCTGTCAAAACGAGCTCTTGTCGCCAGCTCGGCCTACACAACCCCCCTTTGGAGGCCCAGAGCACCAGCTAAGCAGGGTAAGTCCCCAGTGCTGGTGTTGCTCAAAGTTGCTCCTTGGCTTGGCAAACTCATGGCCAGGATATCTGATTTTTTTTGACAGCCCAGGCACGCCATCTTTTCTCATCAGATTTTTCTGGCACGGCATGCAGAAACATCTCATCGAGCTGCAAACTGCAAAAACTGCTCACAAGTGCCCCCTGTGAAGATCCGCGAAGCCTGCTTGCCCTCGGCCATCCTCTTCCGGTAGGCTTCGGATCGGCTGTCGTAGCCCGCATCCGTGGGAAGCAAAAATACCGCCTTGCCCGCCTTTCCAGGTGGGGCACATCCGAGATATCGTGAAGAAACATCATGAAAACGGAAAGGTTGCCCTTGCCCTGCCCTTGCGCCTCCTTGTTGACGGAAGTAAACCTGCAAAGCTGGGATAGGGCGAAGTGAAGCCTGTAAACATGCGGCTGAGCGGCAGATCGCTCAAATCCTTGACGACAGCATCGCCTCAGCTCCGCTAGAGCTAGAGACTTCCTCCGCCAAATCTACTGCCGGACGCAGAAATGTTCTGTGCCTGTTTTTCATTTTTTTTGAGGGGGGGAGAATGCGACAGCTCGACTTTTCGCCGAAAAGCAATTAAAATAATGAAAAGTTATGAGAAACATGACATATGCTGAGAAGTGCTGGAAAACCAATGATATGATGGACAAATCATACAACAATAATGAAATATGATTAAAAATGTGAAGTTTGAAAGAAAAAGGAGTGGAAAATATGAGGAACATTATGAAATTGGATGACATATGACGAAAACCGTGAAAATGCATGAAATATGATGAGAACACCATAAAAATGGATCAGAAATGAGGAAAACAAGGAAAACGCATGAAACTGATGAAACATGACAAAAAAATCTGAAATATGATGAGAAGTGATAGATATGATGAAATATGATGAAATCTGCAAAATCTGCGAGAACTATGCCATTTGATGAACCGAATGAGGTTTGATGAAGTATGATGGGAATCATGAGAAGTCATGACAAATGATGACACACAACGAAAATGTTATGAAATATGATGAACATGATGAAAAAGCATGAAATGTGAAGAAGGTGATGAAACATCATGAATATGATGGAAAAATATGGCAAATCATGAAAACTCTTGAAAGCTGATGGAAAATGATGAAACAAGAAACATGGCGCATGTGATGAAAACGTGTGACAACAAAAATGAAAATAGTGCAATGATCTAAAGTTATGAGCAGAGGTCAAGCATGGACGATCTTGAAAAAAGGCGGGGATGTTGGCGCCCCCAGTTGCAAACAAAATTGTCTGTATAACCATCCCGTACTGCAAACATGGTGATGGCAAGACGCTTCTTTGTCACAGCAAGCATGGATTGTTTAAAACAAGCCGGAGGAGGGGGGGGGCGGCGGCAGCCGCTCCCATGTGCAAACAAAAATGATCTGCATAACCATCCCTCATTGCAAACATGGTGATGGCATGACGCGTATTTGTTATGGCAAGCATGGAAGGCCTTCGAAAAAGGCGGGGTCCCCCCCCACCTAGCAAACAACAGGGATAATGATGCTCCTCTACTCTACTGCCTTGATGCGACCCCCCCTCATGCACGGCCAGCACTGCAGCACCGATTCTTGCCAGAGTCGCTGGCAGCGATCGCCTCGTTCGTGCGCTGGTCACGCGCCGCCGCCTGAAGCTTCCTCGCCTGCGCTTCGATGCCTGAAAATGCATTTTCCAGCTCGAACACTTTCTTGGGCTTTGTTAGACTTAGCGAGTGACAGGAAACACCTCACATCCATCCTTATGCATCAAGGCACGCTCATAGCCAGGCTGGAAGTCGATCTCTCCATCTTCCTCCTGATGTTCAAAAACTGGAAAGTCAAGCATTCTCTCCCAGGATGTCGCCAAGAATCCCCAGCCAAGACCAACTGTCGCAGTGGCGCCAGCAAGTCTCCTCGGCTCCGAGGGTTCGGCCTTGCCTGAGCCTTCAACTCCGCAGCTCCGGGGGTTTCCTCTCAACCGTCCAATCCTGCGACTTAATCTTTTGCCAACCTTGCTTTCACTTCTCCCGACCAGAGGCGATCGATCGCAGTGTTGCTGCCTGCAGAATTGTCCAAAGCGTTAGTCGCCTGTTGGAAGAGCCGACTTCCTCGCACAGGATGGTCCAAACAGCTCAGGCTCAGCACTTTTTGATTCGAGCTATCCTCCACGGACTTGAGTTTGGACGTCAAAGTACAAAAAGTCCATGCCACCCTGGAGCTGCTCAGCATACCTGCACCACTCAGCACGCAACCCTTCTGCTCCACTGAAAGCTGCGTTCAAGAGTTCGTCTTGCTGATCTAGAATCTGGAATGACACTTGCTACTTTATGACCTGATGACCACCAGCGAGCAATGCTCCAAGGTTGCATCCCTTTGCCTGGCAACGGCGCGCGCCAGCGGCGGAGAAAGCTCTGCCCGAGCGACAGGCGCCCAGCCTTTAAGACCAATAACGTGTTCATGGTCATTCTGACTTCACTTAAAGCTTTGGCTTCGTTGCCTTCAACCTGGTTTTAGAATCCTTCCAAAGCTTGCCTCTACAATCTCAGGCCAGGCCTGCGCCTGCTGCCGCTACAGAGCTCACCATCCAGGTCCGCCTCACAAACAACTCAAGCTTCAAGCTACGGCTACTGCATTACTGCATGAGCACCCCATGTGCTCTTCAGGGTGATTGTTTTGTTGAATGGAAGTTATACGTGCGCACAGTCTTAAGCTTGCTGCACTCCATCTTGGCACTTTTTTGCAGCACGCCTGCATACACCGTCCCGCCCCCCTCTCCCGCGCGGTGCGAACCTACAATGAGATTATCCTGGGGTGGCAGTTTGACCAGCAAAGTGGGTGTGAACCATTTCCTATGGTGTCAACCGGTGCCGGTACCTGGTCACTGGTCGTTCAAGGCAGCTGAAGGCTCGGGCGGCGCTCCCTCACAGGGCCGCAAAACTCTCCGAGTCCCCAGTCTCAACGCGTCGTATTACGTATCCCTTCCTTTGTCCATGAAGCGAAGCATTTTGGCAGCAAAAGCCGCTCTGATACGAGTGCAAGGCAAGAGGCCCACTATGAGCAATGTGCACCAGAGCCGCCGCGATCTGCCCGACAGAGTCTGCGCAATCATCGCGACAAGTTCTACAGATGCTGTCCTTGTGGCCCTCAAGAACTTACCCTCTTCCAGAAATTGGCATTTGCTGGATCGTGGCTTTGCATGCTGACCTTTTCTTAAAGCTCCTACTGGCACAAATGGCCGCAGAGGAGGCACAAGGTCGTGACATGACATGCTGCACAAGCGAAACCACCAAGGTAGCCGGCAGCAGGACTCGGCTGCGGCGCCGACACCTCACATTGATTCAAAAATGCCCGGAAATCCTTTCCCGAGCAAGCACCGAGCATCTTTTCGAGCCACGCTCTGTGCATTCGAGGTCCCGGCAGGCGGAGCTGGACTCGGTGGAGCTGGTGCTTGCGGAGGTTCCGGCGCCGAAGCCCTTTGCGACTTCTTTGCGACTTTATGATCCGACTCTCCGGCCCATCATGAACAAGATGATCTTTGGCAGAGCGGCTTGGGTGGTGCCGGTGCCGGTGGTGGCCTGACCACTGGCGTCACTGGTGGCTGAGGAGCGGCAGGCCTAAGGCTCCGGTCCCCCGAAAACTGAAAGTGACTGAGATCTGAGAGCACGACGGCAGCTGTTGGCGCAAGCCTCTGGAGGCACTGATGGCATCCTTCTACGAAGCGGAATTCTGTGACAGCCACGGCCCAGGCAGCTAGCCAGATGTGCGGCGCGGCTCTTGGCATAAGCCGCCCTCGGCAAAGGGGAGGGTGATGTCAAAACCTGGGGAGCCCAGGCCCAGACCTCTCGGCAAGAACGGGCCTTGCTGTACCACGTGTTCATCAGTCTGTGGTGATTCTCTGTCTAGTCAACGACTTTGCCGGTGGCTCGATCGGGCCGAACTGCGCCAGGGCTTCAAGGCAAAGGCCGGCGGCCTGGTCCAAAAGGCCCGAAAGGCAGAATGGTCAGATCCGTCCCTCGAGCACGCCCCACCAGGAGGTCCGATGAGCTTCCAGCGCCTTGCTTTCCATCCTCCGCCTTTCAAGTTGGCTGCATTGGCTGCATTGGGATCATGCAGCATACACAACTAGCTCAGCAAATGCAAAACATGCCGCGCAACCACTTGCAAGCCACAATGAAGCGGCACTTGCATTGCCAAGCCGCAATAGCACGCTCGTAGCTTTGCTCCGCAAACTGCCGTAGCTGAGCCTGAAGAGGAAGTGAGAGGAAGTGGTGAGGAAGGAAGGTCCGCTTGCCCGGGCGAGCAAAAGGCCAAGGCCTCGCCATCCGTCAGGTCGAGCTTGCCCTTTGTCTCTTCAGCCTAAGCTGTTGTGAGGCCGTCGTCAAACCGTCGTCCTGCTTCCACCAAATGCTGAAAGGATGCCTTCTCAAAGGTCTCGAGAAGGAGCTTCTCCGACCCCGCCTCAATGGGCAAGGAGCTTGGAGACTTGGAGACTTGGAGCGTAAAATCCGCAGTCTGAATAGTCTGAGAGTGGCCGTGGTTTGCTTCGCGTGCTTCGCGGCCAGCAGCATCTCCAGCGCTTGAATCCGAACTCAGACATGCGAAGCAGAGGGGCTTTCCAAAAAAAACAGTCGGGTGCAATGTGGCTGGCACGGTAGTGGGCAACCACAGGCTGCGTGGCCTGAGAGATCTGCAGCGTGGAATCACGTGGACATGGTGGGAGGCAGGCCTCTAAAGATGCCACCGTCTCGAGCAGGCAGCTGACCTCACCCTCCAACTCCGACTTTTCACTGCTCCCCTTCCAATGCTGACATGCTTCCATGCTGAATTCCCACACAGTCCGTTTGTTTGGTGCATGGCCTCGTTTGGAACTGGAGGCGCGTCCTGCACTGCAACGCGTTGGGCAACAGGGGTTTTGGAAACCCCCTTCTCCTCCAAAGGCGGCTTGACAGAGTCCAGCAGTTGGCTTACCAACTCTTCTCTCTTGGCGCCCTCCTTCACCACAGGCACGTCTGTCATTGCAGTGCAGTGCAGGAACTGCACTGGATGGTGGAAAATCCCCAGGCTTGCGGAAAGGGCCTGCGGCTGCAGAGGCTCCTGGAAATGGTTAAACTCCATGGGTCTAAGGAAAACGTCGCTTAAAACAAAAATGCCGTGGCCACCTCCAGCAACTTGCGGACTACCTGCGAACTGCTTTAACACAACATGAAGGCCAGAAAGGCTGAAAAGGCTTCCAGCCTCTGGCGCAGCTGATGCAGCTGGCACAGCCTGCCAGACCAGGGTGCCACAGGAAAAGCTTAGCACTGGCAGTTCGCGCCTCACCCTCAGCCTCAGGCGCCAAGTTGGCCACACAGCTGACCGCATCTGCCATAGACCGCAGCCTGGCCCCATGCAATCTCTCCTCTCTCCCCTCTGTAGCCCGTAGGATTAGTAACACCAGGTGGTATCTCCTTCAGCGATCTGCGGTCAGCCCTTTCTTCGCAACACACAGGGTCTGGTATGGTCTAGAATTGGAGACAGATAGCTCTTCAAGCTTTCACGCCGTCAGCTTCAGGCTGTTGACCTTGTCCAAGGGTTTTGGGGACAACATGGGGCGACCGCATATCACTCGCAGAAGACTAGGGGGATCTAGAAATGCCAAGCAGCGATGTAGTCCAAGTACTGCTTGCCAAGCGGGCCCTTATAGGACGGCTGGATGCGATCTGCAGGTGACAGTGCCAACGCAAAGGTGACCACCCCCTTCTGCCTGAGCTTTGTCTGAAGGATTCTCACTCCTTTGATGATGGCTCTCGTCTTAAAAGCACTGCCGAGCCGCAGTATGGCTCTGCCTGTCGTCGCCTGCGGAGGCATTTCTTGTCCAGGGACAGCCTCAGGGAGCTTTTGCGCCGGGGCGCTGAATGCCAAGCCGTAAAAAGTCCAAGAAGCTGGTCGTCCAACAGCTTCGGACAGGGGCATGAGCGACTTGCCTGGCAAGGCCAAATTAGTTGTCTGACCACATTTCTCTCCTAGACTTTACTCTGCATCTCCCAGCAAGGCCTCCCAAACCTTGCACTTGCCTCGGGATCAGTTGTGGCCCAAACTCAGAATCTATGCCATGTCGCGTGCCAGTACAATGTTGCAAGGCAGTTCGCACAGAACATTCAGGTTTCCAGAGTTCAATCAACAATTGTTTAACAACACCTTGAGCACCGACCTTATCTCAGGCGGTCACCCTAGAGTCATCTAGAGACTTCTAAGGCGCGCTTTGGCCCAGCGCCAACAGCTTCTCGATTATGACACACTGTTGTGACCATGATGCGCGTTGGGATCAGCCGCCGTCCCCTGGATTTGGCTCAGCGCATGCCAAGTAAGGACCTTAAGTACTGAAAATGGTGCACACACATCCGCGCATGTCTGAAGGTGCTGCCAGGAGTGCTGAGCTCCCTCCAGGCCCATCGCTGAATTCGTAATCGACGAGGCTTATGTTTATCTGCGGAGGAAGGCATGTATTAGGGGCTCAAGCACGGAAGAGGCCAACGCACCTCGCCTGTGGCATCTGGAGGCCAGCCTGCGCCATCTGCGCCTGGTGCTCTGTGCTTTTTGATGACCCTGGCCGAAAGCTGCAGACTACAGTGCGCCTCCTGGCCCGCGCGCATCATCCATTCCGCAATACTCGCACCCGTCACGTCACCCAAAGCAACCTCCTGCACTTCAAGCAACTTAGCGATTTACATCTGCAGTAATTGTTCAAATACTTAATTAGCACGCCTTCCAGTCGCTCCGCTTGTCGTCGCCATCTCGCGGCATGAACTTTGCGCTGCGCAGCCTGAAGGAAGATAGGCCAAGGCAGCCCCCGGCAAAGAAGCCATGATAAGCCATGTGTGCAGCCAGGAAGCAGCGCGGGCAGCGTCAGCCGGGCGCAGCGCACGGCTACCAGGTCAGGCTCCCGACCCGCACGCAGCTCCTTCCACGAAGCTGTTGGCAGGACCGCTGGGACTGGACTTCACAAAGCATGCAAGGAGACTCCTCCATGTCCATTGGCGACATGCCTCTACCGCGTACAAGCCAAAGCTCATCAAAGGACAGCTGCTCAAGGACAACTGACTAGTGCGTTCCTTGTTCATGGCAATATTACTCTCTTCTCATAAAATGGGCAAGCTAGAAATTTGGGGGCTGTAGCATCTCTATTTCAGATTCTACTCAGCTGAGGACCAGGCTTAGGATGAGCCGCCCAGCGTAATCGTTCAACCTACCCAAATTCCATCAGCACTACCGCGTAAGGATGCGAATTTCCGGCCGAGGTGCTCGGTCTGCCAAGTCACCGGGAGCTGGATGCCTTGCCATGGTTTTGGACGTTCATTCTGTGCACTGCCTGGAGCAAGAAAAACAAACCCAGGACCTGAAGTCCGTCCAAGCTTCTGAAATCCTTCTTGGGGCTCAGAACCGGTGCAAGGTATGGGTCACCAGTCGGTGTGTCCGTGGTGCGAAGGTTGAAGCGGTTCAAGGTCTCCTGCACAATAACGATCAGCAACCGCACTGGCCATCAGAACGAAAGTCCGCAGCTATCTTTCGACGCCTCCTCTGCCATGGCAGGCTGAACCAGCTGCGCAGCGCCCAGCGTGCCCAACAACGTGCGGCGGCTAAGGCTAAGGCCTGGGCAAAGAAAGGCCCTCAGAACGACGTTGGCACTGAGCTGCGGCCAGCTGCAGCCGGCTGACTCTGACCCACATCTCGCCAGCCAGGGGCCCAGCAGAGCCTGGAGCAAGCGAGCTGAAGGTTTTCGGCAGCCTTGAGTTGCGCTTTGCCTTGGTACACACCATGCCGCAAGCACCAGCAGCAGAGCGACTGGAGCTGCTCCTGCTCGGCGTGCCATGGCTTCCAGAAAGCTGCTGGCCCAGATCCTCTTTTGGCGGGAAGGAGGTGTGGAAGCCTTAGGAGTTTGATTTCGAAGTGTTCATTCATACTATGTCTTGCTCTGGCTCCTGAATGCCTGCCATTCGCAAGGCAATTGGCGAGATGACTCAAGTTCGGGGTCGGGGCATGTTTCTGTATGTCTCCTCCTCAAATCAGCGAAAGCCCACCTGTTTGCGTGCATATTCCAAGACCTGCACCATCTCAGCTCAGGACACAAAACGAGCATGCCAGACCATTTTTTGACTGCTACAGGTCATTCCGAGCCAGAGCCACTACACGAGCACTACTCTCTGCAAGCATCCATCATCGCTGCAGTCCGTGCAGTGCAAGCCGGTCGGGTCAAACAGTGCCTGCAGCAGGGTCTGTGCTGGATTTGCCAACAGACGGACAGCCTTACCAGACTTAAGGCAGAATGGAAACAACGGGTAGACACCGCACTCTGCCCAACTCAAGAAGGGATTGGGCAAAGAGCGTGTTGTTGGGTCGGTGGACAGATAGACGGATGGACGGATGGGTGGATGGTCATTGGTGGATGGATGGGTGCATGCCTCAAAGACATCTTGAAGATCCTCTTTGACATTTCACTGAAAATAAGTCTGGCCAAACCAAATGATATTTCGATTTTATAGCCTGGCTCGCAGCAAGGCCACAGCAGACACTTACCTGTCGGTAGATTCTGGTGCTGTTCGACCTCAAGCCGGCTCAAACCCAGCAGAGATAGCCTGCAACGTTGCATGCGTGCGCGACAGTATTCGCCGAATCTAACCCTTGCCGCGCTGTGTTACACGACCCTCATTGGCCATCATTAGCCTATACCACTGACAAAGCGGTCCAATAAAGCGATGACTTGTATACAACATTCCTCAGTTACGGGGTGCACTCGAACATCGCTCACGCTTGACTGGAGTCCCCGTGACATCTCATTGCTGTACTCCCGCCGCAGTTGTTCAAGCTACCGGCTGAGCTTCAATAGCTGAAACTTCTCTTGCAGTTGCTGCATCTCGCAAAATGAGCAGCCTCGGGCATCGGCTTCACGTTTAAATCGAAGAAGCGCAGGTCGATCACACCGTCCTCGCTGATCGAGGCCACCGGCAGGTTGGTGTAGAAGTCGGAGTAAAAATCCGAGATCCGCTGCACTCGCTGCACTGCCCAGGGCACTGTGTTGGACCAGCGGTGGCATAGCTGGCCATCCAGGTAGTGAACACCCCGGTACTCAGCTGCATCTGCCCAGGTTTCGTTGAAGACGACTTGGTGCAAAGGCAGCTTTTGGCATTGCACAGCCTTTGCGTTTCCAGGGCCAGGTGGCAACCGCTCATTGGCACTCGTTTGGTACATCGCCTGCTCTCGTCCGTGCGCATTAATGCCAACAGATGTTGGGCTGGGCCCGAAGCGGCCACAGGAACCGTTGCGACAGGTCATCAGCCACTCCGTCCTCATGACCTGCAGGTCTGCGTTCAGGTAATGCGTCCCGCTGAAGTTGTTACCTGCTTTCAGACGTGAGGGCGTCTACGACAGCAAGAGCAGAAGAGCAGAAGGCAAGAGCACAGGAAGGGCCTGCGAAGAGGTCGTGGGAGTTTGGACTTACGCGCATGGTGCATCGGTAGCTCATCTGCCGTGGAAAGCCAGGCTTCGGCGGTTCCGAAAGCTCCGAAAGGGCGCATGGCAGACGCGCCAAGGCCAAGGCCAGGACCAGACACCTCGAAGGCCTTGTGCTCAGCATTCTCGTTTCCAGAGACCCTTCCACTGACACGAATGGCTATGCGAATGGCTACGCACCACGCACCATCTCACAGCTGTTGCAGCTCTTACAGCTCTTACGACACTGCAGCCACTGGAGATGCATCAGCAGGTCCTCCTTTCCAGGCATGCGGCGGACCATCGGCAAAAAGCAAAGAAGGAACAGTGTTGTTCTCTTCTGCCTTCTGTGCAATACGTTCAAGAGACAGCTGTCCACTGTGACACGGCACATCCCAACGACAGAGCAATGATAATTGACGCACAGACTTCCCTGTTCCACTGCACTCAACATATCATGCACTTCAGCTGTGTCCTTTGGGCTAGTGACCTGTGAAACTCTGAATATCTACATCAAGGAGCCCCCTCAGCTTCTTGGCCAACCAGGTCTGCATGGCTTTGATCAGGCCAGCATAGGCCACCTCTGCTACAGTCCCCGGTTGCTGAGTTTTCAAAAATTGGCTCCCACTCCCAGCCTTCCGCCGTGTTTACTGGGGAGGATCCGCGGAAGGCTCTGCGGGTGCCTATCGCACAAATCGCACCAAAAGCACTTCAGCAAGCTGTCTTTCAGGACTTCCGAGGCAGCTGGGCCTGCGTGCTCTCGTTGCTGCGCTTCCTTCGGACGACCTCTGGCATCGGTGAGCGCACACTCTGTATGTTTGTATATGTGTTACTGAAGAGCCAAGGCTGCAAATGCATTCTTCACTTACCAGGCACCTGCGCGCCCTCTGGGCTGGCAGCACGGTGGTTCCCCAGCCTTTAACAGTTCCAGAGAGGATGACTTCGCCACAAGATGTCGGAAGAACGTATTCCCTGCACAGCCCCACCTGTCGGAAGACCCTCGTCTTACTTTCTCTCGCGAAGATCGAAGGGTGTCCTTGTATTCTTGGACGATGGACATGTTCCTAGTTGCAGATCAGAAACACAAACTTAGAATCGTAGCTTCCTCGTCTTCGCTCCACCTCCTGGTTTCCTGAGGTTGGGCATCAGGCAAGGACTTCAGAGTGGAGGCCTACGGGTCACACTCACAGCTGTGCAAGTCTCCTTTCTTGTTAGGATGGAGATTAACCGGCAGATGTTGGCAGCTGCGCGGAAGACAAAGCCCGGCAAGCTGATGAGAACCACCTTGGAAGCCAAGGAAACAAACGGACATCTTCTAACATCTTCTGACATGAACGGATGGCATAGATGCAGCAGCAGCACTGGTGTGGCGTTGACAATCAGGCTGAGCCCAAACAGCTCAAAGCCTCGATGCCAAACGGTGCAGCGTCTGTTTGAAAGCCGTCAAAAGGAGCCTCCCGGTCCCCTCCATCCAAGCTCCGTCCGAGTGGCTAAGACAAGACCAAAACAAGTATCTTTTGTCCTCGGCACACGCTCATGCAACGACAAATGCCCAACAATGCTCAAACAGCCAGCCCACGTGCCATCAAGCTTTGAGAGCATGTTTGGTTGCATTCTGCTTTGGTTTTCACAACGAAACTCAAGTTGCGATGCTTCCTGGAGGCCTGTAATGCTGCATTTTATAGAGTTTGCTTTTCAGAAACTTCAGGCAAGAAAACAATACGGGATCTCAGACAATGGCTTTGTACAATGAACCTTTGTGCTGAGTATGTTCAAAGATTTTCCGTGAATGGCCCCAAAGTTGCAGGCATGTTTTGCAAGCTTGGAAAACGAATGTTTGAGGTTGATAAACTTACCCGCCAGAATGCAACTCAGACATTTCCTTGTAGGTGTAAGGCCTCCTATGTGTGGAGACCCCTCTGCAAACCAGGTAGAGGGTGGAGCCTCTTCAACGGCAGAAAATGTCCGGAGTCCAGACCACTGTAAGAGCTCATCCTTTCTGTTACACGGAGCAGCAGAAGGGGGTTGGGTGGAAGGGTGGAAGGGTGGAAGGGGCTACAAGTAGCCCCATGCCATCCTTTCACACTTGCATCAAAAAAACGAAGCTGGACCGCATGTATCGGCATGAAAGGAACAAGAGTGACATCGATAATCTGCAGCAGCAGCGACAGTAATACAAGTGGTTACAACACGAAGCTGATAAATGTATGACAGAAATAAGCCAAATAAGAGCAGAAATAGAAATCGTAACGACTATAGCAAGAGCACTTACACCACCAACAGTGCGTAACCGCATAAATAACAAAGATAAAAGCAAGAATACCAATAATCACATTGGCAACTACTCTGCTAATGACAGCAGCAATAGCAATAGAAATAGCAGTGACGGCCGCAATTGCTATGTCCGTCACCGTAGCAATGACAGAAAAACAGCAACCGTAAGGAAAAACGGCATCAACACCAAATAGTGGTATAGACCTGCTCATGGCCGTCTCAGAAGTGATATTTGTGATGTGTAGCGCCGTAGTTATAATACTACTAGAGACATTTTCAGTTGTGATACTAGCCAGATTTTCGGCCGTCTCAGAAGTGATATTTGTGATGCGTATTGCCGTAATTGTAGCACGACTAGAGATATTTTCAGTTGTGATACTAGCCAGAATAGTAATGCTAACGAAGTGTACAGTGCCGGTAGCAACAGTGCAGAATCACAGGAACGACAGCAATTAGTAACTTCAGCAAGAACTGCACTAGCACTCACCATTTGAGTACTACTAGCCATAAAAACAACAATGATATAGTAATGGCAGTGGTGAGACTCTGATACTCACAACAGAAATGATGCTGACAGGCCTTGTCCGGCTGAATACTGTGGCACCAAGCATTCTGACTTGGCTTCGATGGGTGCAAACAGCCGAGTCGGCAGGAGCCATATCGCAGCCATCCACAAGCAACCATGATTATAAACGTCCGAGGTCTAAGGCACCCACTCCCATGTTCCAAGCACATGCGGTCGGACCGAACAATCACTGTACGGGCATTCCTGGCCCCACAACACATGGCTTAGGCGCCTTGCCCGGCATGCGCACTTACAGGGAGGCGTGCGTGCGTGAGCTCACCTTTTGGGTTTGCGCCTGGAATGCCTCCCATGCGAAAACGCGTTTTGGGAGGAACCAGGACCTGCTTTCACATGCCAAAAACAAGAGCTATTACTGCTTACAGTGCTTACAAGGCTTTATTCTTCTGCGTTCTCTTTTGCGTCTGCGCGGCGCGCGTTTACAGGACAACGGCGCTTTGTGAAGTAACAAGTACACTGGTATCGACAACAATGATCATGGCAGGGGCAGTGCCCATCATTAGAGCAATGATAACTATGGCAAAAACAGGGAGAGCAAAACGGCAACAGTGATGACACCAGTGGCTAGTATTTGTAGCGGTGTAGCGGTAATTACTACAAACAAGCACCAATAAAGAAGTCACGACAAGTATGAGCAAGAACAGGCCAATGAAACAAAAAGCCAGAAGCAGGAAGCTAGAAGCGGAGACCAGGAAGCGAAAGAAGAAAGCCGAGGCCTCTGACCAGGCCGAGAATGGAAGGCAGAAAGCAGGAGAAAACAGTCTCCCTAGCTAGCCAAAGAGAGAAGGCCGGAAGCAAAACAAAAAAAACGAAGAGCCCCAAAAACATCCCCATAACAAAACCTTGACAGTTGGCGTTGGGTTGGTGCTGAGGCATCCACGCTCAAGTATTTCCTGAGCTGGCTTGGGCTCGACGACAGCATGTGATTTTGCTGCGGCAAGTGAGGACAAGTGGCCGCACAATGGTGTAGTCATATCCTTGGAGCCATGGGTGTCAAGACATGTCCATGCGCTCGAAAAGATCTAAGGGAGCTGCCCATCTGCTTCTGGTGCACGCCCAGAACTTCTGAGAGGAACATGACAGACACGTGAGCCACAATTTCAACCAACACCTCAGTTGATTAGCCAGAAACTACAGGCCCAAACGCCTAGCATTCACATCCTCACCTGCGCAGTCAGCTTACGCTCGCTTGGCAGACTGACAAAAGATGGCAGCTTGGTACACATCAATGTCTTGCTGTCCCAAGCACGATGAGGCTTCGAAGAATTGCTGCCTTAACTGTCTTTGTCTCCGACCCAGCCACTCGCTTCATGCTTCATGGCTCTTCTGCTTTACATCTGCTCTGCATCTCTGTTGCCTTAGAAGGCTTCACAATGGCAGGGCATGCCCACTCCCGGCTGTTGAGCAGAGTCTGCAATTCTGCAATCAGTTGTATTCCCATTTGTGTACTGAACCCTCAAGGTTCATGTGTTGGATAGAATGGCAGCCTTGGGTGAGCATGCTCGCTCAACTATAAGTGTCCTAGTTGTAGGCTCTTGCTTCCTCAAAATGCCCCATAGATTCCACTCTGGAAGTGTGCTCATACGGGCGATGCTTTCTGCAATCCTGCATGCAGCACACGCCCGTGCATCACGTATGTTGGTATCTGCCCGCAGTTCTGAGTTGGCGTTCTTCGCTGCGGTTTGGTTTCCCCAGCAAAAAGGCGCTTGCATATGTCACTATATGTTTCGCCAAAGCACGACAATTGGCGCCGCGCTGGTTCCGAAGCATGTCCGGCCTTCCCGCACACTTCGCACATGCACAGGAGCAGATCACAACTTCAATTACCTTCCAGCACGGACTTGGCAGCGAAGTGAAGGCATAAGCCTCAACTTGCAGAAATCACGAAAAATCAGAGACTGTTAGGAAGCATTAATCCCAGGAGCAGGATGAGACACGGTCAATCACCTGAGCCACTGACAGGCCAGCAAGCCAGCTTTAAATGATCAGTTAGTGGGTGTGGGATGGTGGGACTTTTTGACTGCCAGGATCTGCCAGGGTGCCATGTCCAAGTAATAGCCTCCACCAGGAAGGGAGCTGCAAAGGCAACTGGAAACGTGTGGGCTGACATGAAATCTGATGGCCCTGCAACAGTGGAGCCTAATCGTGACTCCTGGTTGAGGGCACGCGCAGCGTAGCCGTCTATACAATCCAGGAGGTAGCTGATTGAGTAGTACAGCCTCAGACAACCGCAAGTACCACCAAGAAGCCTGCATCCCAACGATGTCTCCGTGCGGCTAAGAATCGCGAACGTTGGGCCGTCAGGGGCCCGTACTGCCCAGTACAGCGTCAAGATTCGACCCTGAGATAAACATTGCTTAGTGAACTAGGGACCTCCTACACCAAGTACAAGGGATATTGAGATATTCTGAAATGTCTTGCGCAGTTGCTGCAGATCTTGAGGCCAAGTTGAGGCCAAGCATCATAGTCAATGATGTTTGCAACCTGAATTACTATCAGGACATGACATGGTACAAAATGGCATCATTATGCCATCCAGCGCTTCACGCTTCTAGCCCTGAGTGCAGGAGACCCTTTTCTTCGCTGCTTTGGACATATCCTTCATCGCTAAGCGGCTAAGATTAATGAGAGCATTGCTCCAGCCAAATTCAGCTGGCTCGAAAGATACCAGGGCAGCCGTTGCTAGGGGTCAGCAAACAGCCTCTGCATGATGACACGAATTCTTCAAAGCAGGAGCTCCTGTTGTAGTTGGCCCGGCACCCCTTCTGTGCGGAGTGCGGGGTCTGCCATGGAGCAGGGCCTTGCTCACGGAAGGATCCGCTTGCCCTCATCCAACTTGGCCGTCTGCGCAAGCCAGCCATGCATTGAGAAAGCAGCAAAGCAGCGCTGCTTTTCAGCTCCTGCCTCGAGGCACTTGTACTGATCGAGGTGCTCTGGCTGGCCATTGCCCTCAACACGCGAATCAGGGACTTGGAAGCCAACAAACTTGACAACGCCCACCTCGACCCGCAGGAAGCTCCAGCAATACTCACCTGGAAAGGTTTCAACTTCTCACAGCTTTGAAAAAAATCCACCAACCTGGCGGCAAGCTGTGCTCATATTGCAAGCAGTCCTAAGCTGCACGCACTTTGAGGCAAACAGGCGTCTTTCAACTTGAATGGTTTTCAAAGCTTTCGCCGGGATGCATAGCCGGTCAGTGGCACAGTGCCCCCAATGCCCGCGGGTCGGGTCCAGACCCTGCAACGACCATCATCTCCGCTGCTGTACTCGATGCCTTGAAACAACTCTTGAAGCAAAGAGCCCTGTCGCGGCTGACAAACGCAGATTGGGATGGCCACTCTTATCATTCCTGTGGCCCGGACCCGTGCATTTCACATTGTAAATGCACTTGGTCTTGCAGACATCCAAGGAGGAGGAACCAAAGGACTCCTCATCTACGATACTTTGCGATACTCTGCCGGTGCTCACTGCTGCGGTCATCTGCAGTCCTCGTAATATCCCGGCCCAACATCCGCCGGCGAGCTGCCCACGCAGCCCACGTTCTGGCCGTCGCTCCCCGGCGCCGGCTTGAAGGACAGCAGAGCGACCTTGAAGAACATCACATGACTCACAGATAGGTGCATTTAAGAGGAACCAGGATACAGGGCAAGCGACCGTAGTGGTTGCCGCTGTGTCCTTCACTGAGGCTCTGCATCCTACACCGCAAGCTTTTCCCAGACATGATGGGAATTTGTGGCCTCTCCAGCCACCAGGGCAAGGCAGAGCGAAGCAAGAAGCATCATGGCCTGGGGGCGGCGAGAAGTTGGTGCAGGAAGGCACACGCTTACATTGAAGCAAGACGCAATGCTTTTTGATGGCCAGGCGCAGGGCTGCAGCTCCAGGCCAATTAGGCAAAGCTCTGGGAAAAATGCAGCGGGCTCCAGCAAACGAATGACGCGTGGAGTAGGGTGCAGCTTGGCAGGCATTAACATGGCAGATGCTTCCAAGAGACATAGAAGATTTCCTTCACTTGCATTTCCCAATCTTGAAGGCCCTGAGCTCACAAGGAAAAAATCGGCTGCATGTTCTCGCGCACAACATGCGACTCCAAAGATGCAGCTTACTGCGTCTCACTGCATAAAGCAACAGCTACTGAAAGCAGGGAAATACACGCAGAATCATGGAAAGACGATCTTGAAGCCAGGGCTCCAGGGCTGCACGGGCTGCACTGCCCCGCTGCCCCGCAGCGACCCACTGGAAAAGGCTGGGCCATTAATGGCGGCGGTTGAAGCGCAGCAAAAACTGCAAAAGAACAGGAAATGGGAGCAAAAAAATGCACAGCTTGCTGGGCCTCTCCTCCAGGGACTGGAAGTCAGGGCCTTGCGAGGTTTACGCAGCGCGACTCCTGTGTTTCATCACGTGAAGGCCCTTTTTCTCAGGCTCCGGCTTGTGTATGGGACCTGGTGCTGGTCCTCAGGACAGGCCAGCTGAAAGAGCCATCACTGATGCGCGCTGCAACGCGCTGCGCAAAGGTCACCATTGAGTCATCAAACAAGAAAAACATCTTAAACTGTCTTTCAGCAAGACTAACCCCGACGGCTGCTAGAAGAACAACACAAGAAAGAGTGTAGAAGGAGGCAGGATGAGTCCAGCTGGAACGCAGCACCATAACTTAGAACACGCAAGCGCCACGCACTTCAAGGCTTGGCAAGGACTTCAGGAAGCCAAGTCCTCACCAACATCGTCGACACTGGAGGGGGACTGATCCGCACGGCCTCAGAATGGGCTGTCTGTTTAGTCTGTTTCATCAATTGCGGAAGATGGCTGCTGGAGGCTTACTCCAACCCTTTCCCATCCACGTCGGAAGCATCAAATACAAGCCTTGACTATGGAACCGACCAGTTGCAAAATATCACTCTCGAAGAACGGACAGCGGAGCATGATGCAATCCCAGTCGTCGACAACACGATCAAACCCCACATAGCCAACCTCCTAAAAACGGCAATGATATCACGACTTTGCTACTCAAATCTCATATGTGCAACCGAATTGGAGATCAGCCACCTTGAGAAGTAAGCTCAGGTTAGCCAAGTTCCCCCTAAGCGCCAAACCTAAATTCGGAGCTTGGCAAGAACTGAATTACCAATTATGCGGCGACTCCACTCTGGGCCTGCTTTAAGGGGCACGCGATCAGCCAGAGCAACAGGCTTTTCGGGAAGCACAACTCCACTCCACAACATGCAAATCTACCACGACGAGGACCCCCTCATGAAGTGCCATGCGAGAACATGCATCTTCGGCGCTCGACTGCTACTCAAGCACGAAGCAACCATGCCATGCCCGCCTGTCGTGAACTACTGTTGATAGGTAGAGTCCATGAGTTGAAGGACGCGCCGTTGTGTATCCCTGTTGTCCACCAGTCCATGTGCATGAATTTTGCCATCCATCGTCCGTCTGTCAGCTTCGATCTGGTTTAGGCACGCGGGTCGCCAAACCAAAGCCTCGTGTTTTCAAATCTCGTTGCCGATAATTCTGTAAGGTCATTTCGTGACACGCGTAGGTCTCAATGGGGGTATTCCAACCTCGCTTGCCGCGCCCGGATACATTTTATGCTTCTTGCGCTATCTGAACGAACTTAGTCTTCTCCTCCGCGTGCTACATCCCTGAAATCTTCCAGCCGTGCTGGGCCACATGCTAGCGACCTCTGACTCCGTTGCACGTGGTATGCCGCACCCTCTCCTCCAAATACTCAAAGTTTAAAAAGTGGCTGTCGAGTGCTTCTACCTCGCCCCACTGTCCTGAATACACAGATCAACTGGTCGATTGTTTCCTCTGTCGCTTCTTGGAGCCCGGGCTAAGCTGCCCGCGCACAGCGTCGGGAAGTGCCTCCAAACGGCCCTGGAGCGAAGGCTGGGCTGCCTCAGGGCTAAAATGACATCAAAGACGGTATGCTTCACAAAATTGGCCTCAAGTGCCGCATCCCATCCGGATTCTTTCCGCAGGGCACTCACCACTTCAGCCACTTGGGACCTGCCCGACTCGGCAACCAATCTCGGCAGAAACTTGAAACGGCACCACAAAGCCCGCAATGCTCAAAAGGCCTGAAGTGCGATTTCCGGGCAGCGAAGCCGGCTATGAAGTCCCACCTGGCGGGGAGAACTGAAACCCCTTTCCCTCAACACCAGGCCTCCATAAGCGCCCAGCACCATCGGTGCGTGTGCCACTTGGCCTGAAGGTGAAGTGACATCCACTTGGTGGCAGGATATAGATTTAGATGTAGCATGGGCCGAGGGTTGGGCTGGCAAGCTGTACCTCGTCAGCAGCCAAAACGGCGAGCCTGGCATGGTATAGAGTTCCTTTACGCGCCAATTAGGGCCACGCTGCCACGCCTGAGAACCCGAAACTCCTCGTTGGCTCCCATGAAGGCCTCCCGCTTGACCACGTCCTCGCAAGCCCCTTCCCATCTTCTGCACATCTTTAGTCTTAGGCACGTCCCAGAGCTGATAAATTGTTGAACGAGAACGTGACAAAGCCACAAGAAAAATCCTAGCGAAAAGCCTTACATCCCTTCGCCGCGCGGTGCTATGCCTCTTCGCGGAGGTGCATGTTGAGGTGTCGCTTACTCTTGCATCACCAGCCCCACCAGGTCCCATCAAAATCGAATGAATGGACATAACAGCAGGGGGGCAATGTCCATCCTCGTCATGGGGTAAGGCTGGGCAGCTAGCTCCCTCAAACGCATGGGGGGACATGATGACGAAGTTGTAAGGCTCAGCTAAACTGTGCAGTTCGCTTAAGTTGCCAGGCATAACAATGATGTGCTAAAAACTGGAATTGTGTGAACGCTTCTGTTCCGAGGGGCCAAACCTTTTGGGTCCCTGCTTCTAAAATGCTCTGAACACACGGGATGAGATGCATCATGCGCAATGCTCAGTCCAAACGTTTATGTCAGCATAGGTTCGTGCATTAGGCTGCAGGCTTGACCAGAGCTAGCTCGGAGCAGAGCATGCCCGATGCTCCATGCCCGTGAAAGCGCAGAACAGGGTGCAAGCCCTCAGGACGCGACAAACTTTGAAAAACCCTCCTTGCCTGGAGTACGTCCCAGCTGGGCCACTCTACATCCTTGTTAGGACCTGGCATGGCACGTGGCATCCAAACAGAAGCAACTGACGATGGCGATGTAGCGTGCCTGCTTTGGCCTTCGGCTCTGGCTTCAGAGTTGGCGCCGGGGCGGCAGGCACAGAAGCCAAAGCCTCAGACAGTCAGCAGCTCTCTATTAGAGGGGCCGTCTTCCCGTGATGCCTTTTTCACATCCTCATGGACGGATTCGGCCTTGACTTGCAAGTCCTCTGAAAAAAGTACGACAAAGCTCCACTCGTTGCGGTGTCAGAGCTGGCTCAGCCGGCTCCTGGCTGCTGGCGTAAACCTCCCGCCACCTGGGTTGCGCAAGCAGGGCCTCCACCACCTGGCAGAGGTGAGACCTGAAGCACATAGCAGAGGTGGACAGCCTCATCTCTCATGCAAACCCTTGCAAGTAACCCCCCCGCACGACACCTAGCACAAGCGCCACAATGCTTGCGAAATAGGGAACAAGCTTGCTTTTCTCTCTCGACGCTCTCTCTCGACGCTTGCTTGGGCGATGCTGGTGCTGGAAGCGTTACTTCCGCTTCCAGAGGCCTTTTTTTTGTTGGGACGGTTGGCCATGTTAGGTGCCCATTTTCAGAAACTTCCGATAACACGCCGTTTCGGGCAAAAGCAGTTCCATTTCTCTCTCTCTCTTCAAATTCCTGTTGACTTTGACCTGACGAACCGTTTGATTACCTGTGTGGCAGCACCCGGCAATGACCACGCCGCCGCAAGATCCCACCCGGTAGACCACACCTGGCAGGCAGCGGTCCAAGCCACCAGATCCAACCGGCAAAGTGCCTCCTGTTGTGATGCCCTCACGCAGCTCACCAACAGCGAGTATGGCCAAGAGCTGTTTGTTGACAAGTCGACTTGCAAAAGGAGGTGCACAAGACTCCGTAGCCAATGGGAGACCTGAGATCCCCCCGCGCTGCTGGAGAGCCCACTCTCAGAGAAGGGAGTTGACTCGAGCATGGGTTGCCATCCGGACAAGCGCGAGCCCGCCATTGGCATAACATTGTCATACTGGAGAGGCCACAGGGGCCATGTCGAGCCGAGCTGCGGGCAACTGGCGGTGGTTTATTCAAGACAAAGGCCGATCAACCACACTTGGGGCGACGTCTCCGCTGTCCAAGAAGGTGTGGCATGACCCCGGCACCGGCCTGCACGCTGACTTCAGTTGGCACAGTGGTCTGACGGATTCGCAGATGGCTATCTCGCTGACAGAAACAGCTTCTCCTGTCCTGCAGAATCTCTGGCAGCGGCACTGCGGAAGCTCGTGGTCAGCATCATGGATTGCACGTAAGAGTGAGCATGACAGCAAGCGCTGAAGGGGAGAGCTGCGGGAAGACTCATCATGCGCATATGACAAACCTGTCGGGAGCATGGGAACTAGGCCTATGACGAATGTGGGGAGATTGCACACATCGGGAATATTGGAACTGTAGGGATCGTGGAAATTGTGCGAGAACTTTGGAGGAACAGAACCTGTTGAAAAAAAGAAGTACGAGGAATGCTCGGAAGATTGGACATATGAGCAATTCCTAAAGTGAGAAAAAGTTCACACCCCTGAGCAGTTTGTTACATGTGCTCTGAGCGTAAAAGTGTGAGCAGACAGAAACACACTGTTTGGGAAAACCTTTTGCTGCCTTACAACAATTCTGGCCTTGCTAACTTTCTGAGCCACTATAGACTTCCATTTGGGAGCACGCCACCAACGTTGAAGCAACATGATTTCCAGGCTTCTTGTTCTGCAAGCACGGGAAAAAGGTGAGGCATCAAAACAAAATTTGCTAAGCATCAAAAAATATTGAGCCGGGAATGGAGGGGGCGGCGATCGAAAACCTTGCTCCCGCAAGTGCTGTCGCCAGTCTGAAAAGCTTGCAGATGTGTTCGCATGCAAATAAACAAGTAACAGTAACAGCAAAAGTGCCCCACGAGTGGGTTTCCTGTGTTACTTGTGTCGCGCTTATGTGCTGCGCGGTTTGGTTGGGGCTTCGTGGAGTTGCGCGCCATGCCATGGGGACAATAGCCCGAGGAGGATCAAAGTCACAAAGTGCGACCTTGTGCTGCGAGTGTGGACAGAGAGTCTGGATGATCAAACAGTCCGCCCCAGGACATACATCACAAAGCTACGCATTCCGCCATTTGTTGAGCGCTGTATTCCGGCAGACATGGATACGCTTGGGGATAGGACTGACATGAGATATGATGGTTTTGGGGGTTGAGATTTACGGCAGAAGGGCATGGATGCGCCTAGAAGTCCAGCATGAGTAGGTCAACTACCGGAGGCCTTTCATTCATAGGCGCGAGGTTGGATATTGAGCCCTCAGACAGCCTCCCACACATGCTGGACATGAAAGCAAGCACCATAAGCATGGCAGCCCTGCACCCAAATGTCCAACTCGTAAGCTGGAGCTGTCCAACTAAGCGGGGCCAACTTTCGCTCGTGCGTGAGATAGAATCCCATAACCGTGGAGACTCAGGGCAGACGTGTAAGCGCAACGTGTGTTTCCAACTTCTCCAGCTGTCCAGGTTCTCTGGCCCACATCCCAGCGACTCCAACACCACAGGCCCCTTTGCATGCTGCAGTCCCCAACAAACAGCAAAACAGCACTACTACCACTCAAGTCCCAACACGCCAACTCCAGTAAGAAAACTGCCTACTGCAGAGCACCTACTGAGTCTACTGCTTCCGGGGATTGCAAGGGTCGGAAGTCTCAGCAGGTGGCCTGTAGAACGGCTTCTTCGCCGCGAAGCCCAGGATGAACCTTTCAGCTTGGACAAGCTGCAGCAAGCTGCAGCAAGCTGCAGCGATGAGAAGCGATGAGAAGCCAAGCTGCAGCTCAGTGCTGCCCAGCAGCTCCCAAGCCAGCACGGCTTGTCCAAGCTGTGCCGAAAGCTCTGCAGCATCCGCCTTGAGGACTGCCGTCTTCAAAGACGTAAAAGCCTGAATAGCGATAGGATATGCAGCAGTAAGTGCCATGCACTTGTCCACATGATCCCGGAAATGTCTATCAACTGTCGCGTCCTTCTTTGCCACGCAAAGTGGGCAAGTACTTCTGATTGCCATCTTGAATCGAACACGCTTTTGTCTAACGCTGGTAAGTCTTCACCACTGGCTGGGTGATGGAGTCTTGGGCAACCGTAGAACTATGCGCCCCTAGGCCAAACACGAGCCGCACCTGCTCAAGTAAAGCATCCCCTGTGTTATTAGCATTAAAAAGGACGATAGCGATTTCAACACATGATGCGCAGCGCACACGGCAAAGGGCAGCGCCGCAGGCTTGACAACGACACGCCTCCAGACGCGCTTAAATATCTTGTCAGCGCACCTCAAAGTACTGTTCTGAAAAAGTCCCATGTCAAATGCTTCTACACAATAATGATCCCTGGCCCCAGGTGCACATTCGGTTGCATGGCACAAAGAGTGAAGCTAGCTACGTGTGACACTAGAAGCAGCTGAGGGCCATTGAAACCATTGCTGCTCAGCTGCTCAGGGCAAACTGAGGAGATGTCAAGCCACTTTTGAGGCATCGACTCCTCTGCAACCCTCTGCGGTGAAAGGAACGTGGAAAAGTCCTGGAGAGGATGATAAAAAAAAGAGAGAGAGCTGGCGCCAAAACGCTGTCAGTAGTCTTTCCAATCCTCGAGCTTGGCTCAGAGGGAAATCAATGTTCTCCTTCCCGCGCTGGGTCCGCCTCTTGGCTCTTTTGCTTGCGATGTGGGAATTTTTGGCAATGTGGGAGCTGTTTGCCTGGTTCCTGAGTCCCCCATCGAGGGCACAGATGCCTGGCAGGCATTCTGCTTCTTCACATCGCCTTCAGCATTCTCAGTCTGTCCGCTCTTCTTCTCGGCAGCATTCGGACCAGTTCGCTTTGCCTCATGGTGATAGTTCAGGAATTCCAGGACCTGCTCATTTTGAAGCCAAGCACCCAAGGAGTGGGGCTCGTTGTCTGGTACTCGGGCGGAGTTCGAGTTTTTCGAAGGCTTGCGCGAGTCTGTCGAGAGGCGGCGCAGCTTCTGGATCCGAGTTTCCACGTCTTGGCTGGAGTGCTTCAAGCTTTGAGAGTCCTCCAAGAAGAAGTCTAACGAATCTACTAAGGTATGCCCCGCATCTGCGACATTGATCACATGCGAACTTGCCATCGCGCGCAAGCGAGCCTAAACAAGTCTTAAATTGTTCGTGGCATGTCTGACAGGCAGTAAAAAAAGTTCCGTGATGCATCAAGCTACTGCTGGATTTCTCACCCTTTCAGGAGCCCTGTGCGCGAGATTTAGCAACATGCCCAAGGCAACATGCATCATGCCATGCATCTGTGCTTCAGGGCCCCCATGGCCCCCACAGCGTCCCAACTGACTTGCGGCACGCCTCGTTGGCAGACATGTAGCTTTCTTCCTGCAACTTTTTGAAAGTCAGAGCCTTTTGCACTTCCCTTTCCTGACCCGCGTCCTGGACGATCTTTTCCAGGCGGGCCCATATTTCCCATTCAGTGCGAGCCATGGTGCTGCTTGTTCCATCAACTGGGTAGTTGGAATTGGAAACTTTGTCGGGACCCCCAGCGCTTTCAGGAACTTGGAGAATCCGCTTACATTTCTGCTCGGCTGTTTGGTTTCCAGCTCTTGTCAGCCCTTGTCTTGAACCATGCCAAGAAAGCGCAAGACATGTGAAAAAAAGGAGCAACACGCTCCTTGGGGCAAGCAGCGCGGGATTGAACGCCACCCGTATTCTTGTCTTCGCAAAAGACTATCTGCGAAGCTGAGCTCAACCATATTTCAGGCGGAAACGGCGGTCCTGGCAAGCGGTACAACAGACTGGTGTTACTGCTCTGAGAACTTTGAGATTCCCACCCTTCCACCGTCTTGCTTGCGCCGCCGCTTCCACCGACGAAGATCCTTACGCGTGTTCAGAGCCTGCCCGGCACCATCTCATGTTGAGCACCTCAACGTGCCTCGCCCCGCCTCCATCTTTGGCTTTCGGAAAAGCCCATCAGTGGCCTCAACTCCCAGCGCTGAGCCTCACCAGAACAACAGAGCTCCAATGTGTGATGACATGATGGCAGTGCTGCCTGGAAAAATGACATCCTGGCGCAGGGGACCGGCTTTCCAAGCTACGCAGCCAAGACGGGAAGCATCAACTGCCTCACATTGGCATATGATAGCAACAATGCGGAGACATGTTCCGAGAGACTGCTGGTGCCTCGGCACAAAGCAAAGGAGGCATAGCAGGATGCCTGCCAGCCAGCTGACAGTCCCGCATATTCCCGCGTGCGTGCGCAATCTCTTTACCCGGCTGCCTGGAGTGCCTGAGTATGAAGCTTGTGCCCAACAGCCTGGGAACAGCTGTGGGGAGCAACGAAGAAACAATGCCTCTATCTGAACAAGATGAAAGACATGCCAAATCCCGGCAAAGCATTCGCAGTCTCAAGCCTTTGTTGCCTGCACTCCCAAAAAGGTATTCAAGCGCTGCAGCAATACTATCTTTGGAAAGAAAGCGCACAACATGTCAGTCAAGTCAAAAGTGTGGTCCATTCAGGTCACTCCATATTTCTCGCAGGTTCCGAACACAGCCGCCGGAGCCCCAAGCTGTTTGCCATGCCTCGTCGAGACAACTCTCACAATGTTTCCCTCTTACAGAGCTAAGCTGCAAACTGCGGCAAGCCATTAAACGGGCCAGGGCCATTGCTTCTGATAAGGGCTTGTAATGGCCAGTGCAAAAAGAAGTGTTGCTGCTTCTCAGTGCTCGGAGAATCGTCCTTCTATCACTATGAGCCTGACAGAGTTTTCTCCTGGCAGATTTTCAATCCATGCCGAGAATACCGAACCCACGTGAATTGTTTGCACAAGCGTTGCTTTGTTTCTGCACGAAGCACGAAAGTGTTGTCAGTGCAAAAGGAGACGAAGGTCAACAAATGGTTCACCCTTATCAGTGGTATCGTTCAGGGTCGAAGCCGTACCTTGCATGGCCGATCTCCCTCTACATGCACATGCCCGACACCAAAACGTCTCACAGCAGGGCACTTTAGGAACCAACCTTCGCGGTATGCCAGAGCAAAGCCGTGTTTGTTCAAGTGAGTCCACCTGCTGGTCAAAAGGCAGCAGTTGCTTGTGGAACAATGCAAACGCGCCTCTTGTTGCCGCGCGCATATCCTTCCGTGATGCCCCGAAGACGGATCCGATTCCGCCCAACATATCTGGAAAGCAAGAATACGTTGGCATGCCACCAGTGCCACATCCAACTTCCGTGGTTTTGCTTCATGCTGCCTCTGTTCCTGAAGGCAGCCTGCTATCATTAAAACCCCCAACGCTTGGCAATAGCTGAGACAGCCGCTTGTTCACCGGAATGCTACCCCTGACCCCCATGTTCTCGTAGATGGCCTCCACAACCACAGCACACCCCGCCCAATCGAGCAAGCAGCAAAGTGGATCTCGATTTGACCTTGTACACGCGAGTGTTGACTTCGCTCTTTTCGAAAGCTTTTCTGGCCAGCCAATCCCTGGCAACGATCAAAGCAGGACTTGCACATCAAAAACAAGAAAAATCGTCACCTTCTGATGTGATGTGTGTACGACGGGAAGCCCACGGGAGTCCTTGCCGGCAACCAAACCCAGATGATCTCGACATTGGAGCTGACGCACACAGGCAGCCAAGCGTCTGCTGCAAGAATGGTCCAGGATTGCGAGCTGCCATGTTTCAGCACTCCGGGGCGTAGTTAGAGGGTCTACGCCTTCAAATAATTGTGGCATCCGTGCGACATTAAAAGAAAAAATTGACGCTTCTAAGCATTGGCTTGAGAATGTGCATCTGCAATAAAATTGGCCATGTGTTCAAAAGTGCAACCGAAGTTTACGGCAAAACATTTTGGAAGAAATTCGAATGTTGGAAGCTGCGTGCTTCAAAATTTGTTCCGAGCAGTATTTACAATCTACAAAAAATGATCACAGAAGAAAAAAAAAACGAAGCAACGATTGAGAGAGAAACATTGTTTACCCAGGGACTCAGCTGCCGGAGCGCATGTCTCCTGAACGTGAACCGGAAAGAGTTCACTGTTGCGACGTGGAATTTTGATTTTTGGTTGTTGCTGCATGGACCCTTGCTTCGCAAAATACCATGACCTCATGAGTGCAACACCAATCATGCCATGACATGCCTAACATGAGACATGCTTGACATTCATGCTACACAAGCCATGCCAGATCATGTTCATGAGTTTCCAAGCAATCGTTTTCATGATCATGTTTAGCAAGCAAGTGCTCAATACAAGAAGTTGAGTTGTGTAATGCAATTTGTTCATGCCATATGGTAGAATTTTTGTTTCCTCCAGAAAATCGTCAATTTTTCGGCATTTCAGCATGATTTTAGCGTTCGATTATCACTTCCCTTTTGGAAAAGGGAAATATGTAGAGCCTTTCCTGTAGTCTTGGCCTGTTTACCTGAAAAATGAAAAAAAAAAAAAACACACACACA